CTGCGACAATACTTCTATTACTCGCGAATGATTGGAGTCACTTTTTTTGCGGTGTAAACACATTGCCGCTTACTGCCTCTAATAATCTATAAGGGCAAATAAGTATGATAATGAAAGATAATTCCATTGTGGCAATTTAATTTGTCTATATTCAAAGCTGTGTGTTAAGCACACTTATTGCCAATAAAATGTGGAAACGCATTTTTTAATTAACCAAAATTAAAAGGGGAATAAACATCTTCTCTCGTCTAATCTGGCTTTATTTTCCCATGTCTTCGGTATTCACGAAAAACTGTGACGCGACTTGCCATTAGGCGAAGTATTCTGTAATATGTACATGCCCCCGAATAACATTCTAGTTGCCCATATTATTTATGCAAGATTTTATCTCAATTAAATTTATATTAATATAATACGGCTGGTACAAATTCAAAATTACTTTACTGAAAATTACTTTTTAGTTTCAAAACCTTTCACAAATGAGAATCTACTTCTGCAGCTGAACTCTGTAACATCATCGTGCCAAACAGCATCTTCCCCCCGTCAATTTAAGCACACTGTCGTTGTCTTGCTATGACATTGGTCGATTGGAAACGTTCGCCTTTCATTATAGACTCATGATCAGTATTGACAAGACTGATTGTATTGACGTTGTAACTGGTCGGTTTATGCCATGCTCAGACCTTCGACATATCGACAGAAAGCTAATATGCGCGTTGTTTTTTTTGTAAAAGAGGAAATGTACGATTTCAAAGACGGATGCCGAATTTTTGTATTATTCGCACTGAAGCGGTTTCGTAGCAATAATGGAATGCTATGAATGCGTATAATGAGTAATGAGAGTGTACACCAGAACCAACTTCCTTCCCTTTCGTTTCCGGTGTTCAACATTTCTTGATCTTTTTAAATTAAAAACTGTTGGTTACTAGCCAGTTGCATATAGTGTTTAATGGCGTTGTTTAAAGGTCAGGAGCTCGTCTGGCAGTGAGCTTGAAATGTTTACATGTCGCCCGAGATTTTATGCACTTCTCGCGGCTGTCGGACGCCCGAACATGCTGTCTCGTTATGATTTTCAACACGGCGGGTTAATATCAATAATGATATTATGTGCTGAATATGTACTAACTGTATGATTACACAGTAATATATTTTCCTACGGCAGTTAAAGGATATCACAGGACTGAGTATTATTTGCGACGGCCATTCCGCGTAAAGCCAGGACAAAGCGATCTACTCATTGAATAAACGGTTTAGCGTCATAATCGCCGTGCTTATGCTGTTTACAGTGGTATTCATGCCGTGTTATTGTGTGTTGTGGACGCGATGATTAAATTAGTGTTAGCGTATATATGTAACGAATTTATCACCATGATGGTGTGTGTGTGTGTGTGTGTGTGTGTGTGTCGTGTGTTGCGTGCGTGACAACCGTGCGCGTGCGTGCGCGGCGCGTGTGTGTGGTGTGTTGTCCGTGTGTCTGTGTGTGTGTGCTGTGTGTGTAGTGCGTGCGCGCGCCGCCGCGCGTGTGGTGTGCTGTGTGTTGTTGCGTGCAGTGCGTGCGCTGCGGTGCGTGTGTTGCGTGTTCGGCAATCGGTGTATGCGCATGTCTGCTCTTTTATCTTTATCAAGTGATTATAAAGTACTACGGACACTCTGGCCTGAAATAATTAGATTATTTTAGCTTAATAGGTTTATATTGATGAATGCATACTTGATCTATCAAAGCCAGCGGTTAAATAAGTCGACTCTACTGTTTGTTCTAGAGATACGAGCCATACATGGAAAAAAAATCTAGCAATCACGACTTAGATCAAGAGTGCCGACAGGCAAATAGAGGGCTTATTTATAGCGATAGTCATATGAACATCTAATCGTCTTACTGCCCGGCGTATTGGCCGTGGCCCCGTAACCCGTTAGCCCGCCTTGCTGCTGCGACATGTACGTGCGCGAGGCCTACGATCAAGCAACAACAATGATTATTATTCACTCGCGAACGGCTTGTCGTTATGTGCAGGGACGTATAGCACGATCTCATCTTAAATTCTAGCTGGAAAAAAGCTTCAATTTTTCGAATTAATTTAAAGTTACCATTTCTTCTTTAATCACTCATCATTTGCAATTTATCACTTGATATACGGGTGCGTAAATTGCGAGCATTGGCATTGCCAGTAGCGAATCCTCAATACTCACAGTTGATCAGATTTTTCAAGTTTACCAGCCTACGATGTCAGAATATACCTTTAAACGTGCCGGCCGTAGCAAATTATTCCGCTACTTTATTGATAGTTCTATGGTCTTCGGAATCCTATTTTTGCATAATCATTATCCTTTCCTAATTTACAAAAGTAAAATTGCGATCGAACCATAGTCGATATAAAGTATGTGTGTGTGTGTGTGTGTGTTGTGTGTGTGTGTGATTGGTTGTGGTTGTGTGTTGTGTGTGTGTGTTGTGTGTGTGTGTGTTGTGTGTGTGTTGTGTGTGTGATGTGCTGTGTGTGTGTGTGGTGTGTGTTTGTTGTGTTGTGCTGTGTGTGTGTGTGTGTGTGTGTGTGTGTGTGTGTGTGTTGTGTGTGTTGTGTGTGTGTGTGTGGTTGTGTGTGTGGTGTGATCTGTGTGTTGTGTGGTGAACAATGATGCTGATGAGCCCTCGCATCTTTGCTCTCCCTCTTACTCTCCTCTCTCTCTCGTGCTCTTTCTCTCTCGATCGTGCGTCTCTCGTCTCCTCTCTCTCGTCTCTCTCTCTCTCTCTCTCTGCTCAATCGTCTCTTCTCTGCCTATCTCTCTCTCTCTCTCTCTCGCTCTCTGCTCTCTCTCTCTCTCTCTCCCCATCTCTGCTTTCTCCTTAAAATCTCTCTGTCGTCCATGTCGTGCTCTCCTGCGGGTCTCTCCTCCCTCGCCGATGCTCGCTCGCGTCTCCTCGTCCGTCTCGTACGCTCTGCCCGGGGTCTCCGCGACTGCCGGGGGCCGTCTCTTTCTTCCGTCTCGCTCTCGGTGTCGTGCTCTCTCGCCGTTCGCTGATCTCTGATACATAATATGATATATTAAGTATTGATATATATATATATAGTATGATATATAGGAGAGAGAGAGAGAGGAGAGGAGAGAGAGAGAGAGAGAGAGAGAGAGAAGAGAGAGAGAGAGGGAGAGAGAGGAGGAATAGGAGGGAAAGAAAAGGGCGAGAAGATACGAAGCGAGAGCGAGAGATCGAGCGAGAGAGAGAGAGAGAGAGAGAGAGAGAGGGAGAGAATACATATGCTTATCCTTTTATTCATTTGTTTATTTATATATTATCATATATCAAATATACATAGTAGTGTCCATTGATATTTTCATAACAATTCTTCTGTTAGAAAGCATTTTGAACGATAAATTTGTCTATTGTCGCCATAATTTTTTTCCAGGATTAGTCGATTTATTTATGTTGATGATCATAATTTTGTCTCGGGTTCTAGGCATGCATCCGTTTGCGTTCGAGCCAGCCTTCATCCGGCGCCGCAACGAGCGGGAGAGGCAGCGCGTGCGGTGCGTGAACGATGGATACGCTCGCTTGCGGGAGCATCTCCCCATCAACGACAAGGAGAAGCGACTGAGCAAGGTCGAGACGCTGAGAGGTGCCATAGAATACATCAGCTATCTCCAGCGACTCCTGGCGAAGGGCAAAGCGGCGACAACAGCGACGGCAGACGTTGACGATGACAGTGACGATTCGTCGAGGACGAGTCGCTCGCTTGCAGCAACGCCCGTGCCTCGTACCGCCAAGCGAGACATCATAGAAGAGAATGGCAATGACTAGTCAGGTGGTATAGGACAGAGATAACAAGAGGGTTCTGGTGGTGGGTCGGGGGGAGGGGGGGCAGAATAGATGTACTGTCGAATGGCTTGAGCACATGGTAAAGTCTGTGTAAAGGTATATAAGGGAATGGTAAGTGTACGTAGGCAGTATAGATAAAGATAATTAGTGCGCCTATGGTAATATTATATAGAAACGAGAAAGAAAGGGCTTGTGTGCATGACAGTTTCACTATTAGTTGTTTCTCGTTGGTGTGACGGTAACGCCCAAATTTGTTTTCTTATCATTCTAGTCCACTTCATATCATTCTAGTCATATGTAAATGCGGCACATTTTATGGCAACACAAAATTAATAATTACGAATTATTTATCTTCCTATGTGTATAGTTGAATGTATTTTATTATTGTTTTGCTATAAAGTATTATTTTGTGTCGATATGCTCGCTATTTGCATTACTCGATGAACTTGGATGAACCATGGATTGGATTTTGTGTCCACAAGTGTTAGGTTAGGGAGTGAGACGAGGCGTGTAATATAGCGCATGGGAGCGGCTTTTCTTACAAAATGTGTTGTCACTAGCAGTGTTCCTCGCAGCTTTACAATCGCGTTGATATCCCCGACCATTTATCATCCAGCATTCCATAAAAAACGACCGTCCAATCATCGCCCGCTATCGCGCAGGTGCTGGGTGACGTCACGGGTGAAACGCGGAGAACAAGGGGATCATTTCAATACTGATGCAAGCTTCATTGCCTCTCAGATAGAAGCGTTTCGGATTGGACGCATGAAAGCGACACGCATACCTGCTGTACGCACGCGCCTCATCACATATCGATTGGACGCAGAGAACAACGATATCATAGTCAATCCAATAAATATATAGTGGGAGTACTACGCCGTATTTTTTGACGCACTTTTATTTCGCGACGTCTTCGGTATTGTTTATTGTGATATAATTACTAGCAGGGATGCTTTAATCGAGTTGCGCCGTTGCGACCGAAATGATACTACTACCGATTGACACCATCACACAGAATAATCGATTGCATGTAAAGTATCAATCCTAGTTACGCCTATTAAAGCGTCTAGTGCAGCGAATGTTATCTGAACTAGAGCTAGTAAAATATGCTATTAGAAACGGTGAACACAGTGTCCATGAGTCATCATTTCAAGTAAATGTAATATATTATGTAACTACTGTAGGCCTATTATTGTAATTATGAATATTTATTTTTTTATTATTATTATTATTCGACTAAACAGTTACAATTGGTTGCCCGTTTTTACCACAGATTAGTATGGTTGGTCAGCACGTATACACAAGATAGTTAATATTATAATAAAGAGATGCATCAAGTCAGTAAATGTCTCTACGGTTCAATACATAACATCCGCATCTGTTTACAGCCGCGTTCACACGGAGCGAAACGACACGGGTCGAACGCTCCGTGTGAACGCGGCATATGTGAGCAGCGCAGCGAGGCGCACTATGCGAGTCCAGATACGCCTAGATACTAGAATGCCAAATAACGTGGGGTAATTGCAACGAATCCAATATTTTAATTCACGTATGTCAATAAACTTGTTTAACTAATAAAATCGGTAGTGATTATGGTTCATGATCATATTTCATACAAATCAAAGGGCTTTAGAAATCGTCGAAGCAATTGCAGCAGCAGGGAATCGTAGCACAGATGAAGTATATTTAGCAAGACATATCAGTAACATTTACCGACTTCTGATGACTACCGATATCACGCCAAACCCGGTATCATTTGAATTAGTATAACGCACATAGAAAAGCTCCAAGATGGTTAATCGCTGAGGTTGGATAAACATTCTGAAATATCCAATAGTAAAATATCTAGTAATAATAATATTAATAGTAATATTTTAGCAAACTATATTTATACAGACATGAACAAACCTACGGATACAAATTGTTAAAATGTATACCATAATCATAATTTAAACTGTGATATCATCAAGGGATCAAGGGACATGAACTATTGTTCACAGGCTCTTGATATTATCAGTACTAGTGTTTTATCGCGATGACATCTCACTGCTAAATGATAACCATCGTATTCAATCTATGATTAACTATTCATAACACGAACAAGAACTTAGACCTATACAAAATATATGTGTGATGGCTTAATAAGACGTTGTTAGGTATTTGAAAGTAATCATCAATAAAACTAAGCTACATATATATACGTATATATATATATAGATATCCTCATAAGGTAATACACTACGAGTATGCGAACCATCACATTAAACAACTCACTTTAGTTCTTTAATGTTAAAAGGATTGTTTAAATATTGGTAGTACCTAATAATTGATGAATAAAGTTATGCATTAATATATTCTCGATTTATAGATATAACTAAACATTTAAATGTATCTGAAAGCACCATAACATTAATAAAACATACAACCCCATCCAATGACACAGAGAAACATTGAAACATATCTAATGCCAACCCAAGTGTTCTCGTCACGAAAAGGGAAAATGACAGGAACTAGTTTTCACGCACATATCAAGTGCAATTCATCAGTAACGTGACATCATTGATGAAGCATTCCTAATATGAACACGATCAACCACAACAACGCATCCTCATTCGAAGCTCTTATTGCAGCAGTGGTGGTCAGCTTATGTATTAGCACCAGTTCTGCTAATCTAAGTGAGAAAGTGACGAATACTGTTACCAGATCCTCTTATACAGCACCGCAGTGCTTTCATATCACAGTGCCGACCTCAGACCTCAGTTCGTAGTTGCACAACTCGTGCCACAAGTGTTTTCTGATACAGTCATTAGATGGCACTGCTCAGTGTAGCTGTTGCAGCATGTATAGTATAAACTAGAACAGATAAGTGTTTATCCACCTTGTCCCATCTTTCTGCAGGGTTCGGTTCTCTGTCAATTTCAAACAAGAGGTCAAACAATCCTGGAAAGGCCATTCCTGAGTAGTTGTCCTGACTGCTTGCACCGTAGATGATATGTCTATAACAAAAGCAATAGCCTCGTTGTAGCATAATTTCCAACCGCTAACACACATACAGTATAGCCAGCTGTTGGACGGTTGCAGAAGAAAAAATGATCTGCACTGATACAAGCATTATGTGTTTTAAATGAGTGAAGCAAGTCAAGCAGAATGACATTACTAAGACAAAATAAAAAGAAGACAGGAATCCGTTTGTACTTGCCGAAATTGGAGGAAGACAAGAAAATAAAAGTTAGAACACTACCAAAAGTAGAAACTAGCATTGAAACTATAACCTGTAGTGCTAACCCAGGCCTACTCTAACATCTTGGTTACAGCTAGCAGAACAGTGGAACTATACGTCATAGTCCTGATCGTCTCTTGTTCCAAAATCACATTAATCAGGTGTTGCATGCTCACTTGTCAAGAGGGCGTCCCGGAAGTCCATAGGAGTCGAGAAATGCTCGTTCAAGCAGCATCAGTTGATCATTCACTGCTCGCACTGCGAGTGTGCTACAAGTGAGTAGACAACAGTGTTTTTGCATTATTATGTGTTAGTAATCCGTTGACCTAGTGAAAAGACTAAAATCACATGAGGGAATCCAGTGAGGTAGGTCTGATATATCCAGTATGTGGCAAAAGTTTATCTCTGTTAAAATAAATTGTGTGAAAAGGGTGAAATATATAGTCAGAATTTCCCAGATTGCAACTGTAATTCCATTAAAACAATGTGGACACCTGCTTAAATTCTGTATTCACTGGATTCTTTCAAGAATGCTTAGACCTGCCAATGAAATACATATATACATTCATTTATACACTCTTATTTTGCAATTTTCTATCATTCCTCGTTTCCTGGTAGTGTAACGCCACTCTTGCAAGGTTACACCTGTTATTTTAATGCTATAATTTTGTTTATTTAACGTTCGCTCAATAGCTGTAAGACATTGAGACAGCTGAATAAACAACAAGAGATATGTGAATTTCAAGTTCCTACTTCGTGTGGTCAACTTCATTGGCTTCCTGCATGAACTGTTTAATTCTCTTTTGAAAGCTCTTTACCTCTGTCTCCAGCACATCTGAAACAGAACCACAGCTGTCAGCTTACTTAGCAGATGTCTTGATCATTACTGTGAAAAAAAGCCAAAAACAGGATTTTTACTAAATCTACACAATATATAAAACATTTTTGATATACTCACATGTATACGCAGATTTGTTTTCCGTGATATCATAAATAGTTTTAAACAAAATCGGGATCTCTTTACACGTTAAAATCTGTGGGTTTCATATTTGACCTAGCATTGGAAATTCTGCCACCTACAGGATAAATAAATAAAATATTAATCTAACAAAAATAAGATCTTCTCCTCCTGCTTCTACCAGTCTTACAGAATACCCCCACAATCCAACTGTTGCTGTCAATCTTGTAGAAACCCCATCGATTTTAGCTGTTACTGCCATTCGTTCTAACTGTATCTAGCAATCTTGTACAATGTTGCACCTAGTGAAGCAGCAAAGGTGACTCCACTGTCAATGAATAGCTGCTTGTAATCTTTCTGTAGTTTGGCAACACTGTCCACCAAGCTGGTGCCATAGTAGGAGAGGTCTATGGGCACGAGGATAGAGTCAGCATGGTTACGTGCCATCTCTCCCCACATCTTGGTCACTGCTGCATGATACTGGAAGATAAAAAGACATCCAACTTGCATAAAGGTATGCGTGAAGTGATTACCAGCTGCCATGGGTATAAATAACAAACAAACATCTTATGCACTGCACACACTGCACATACTGTTTTCAACTCACAACTATAATTGAAACCATCACCTACTTCATTTGCAATATTTTTCTGGCATCAAATTTAGATAGTGAATGATACAATTCGCTTGTGTGCAGACAATGAAAGACTGCCACGTAAGTACGGAAATAGAGGTAAGTCTGTAGATGGTCATATATACCAACTGAAAAAACAAACCACCTTTACATGCTAATAAAGTTAATCTCAGTTAGATCCATAATCAGTACAAAATAACTTACTCTGACGAAAGTTAGAGTAAGTTATTTTGTACTGATTATGGATTTAACTGAGATTAACGTTATTAGCATGTAAATTATAGAGATCCGATGAAGTTATTTAATTATAAACCACCTTTAGTCGCGTTAGGAAGTTCTTACCTCAAATGTAGGGTCCATGAGCTTGTCCATCAAGAAGAATGTCTCATAAGCAGAGTGGTACAATGGGTACGATGACAGAGGAGTGGAGAACTGGAAATCAGAAGAGAATAGCCTAACAAATTTAGAAATAATAAAAGTAAAAAGTCAGGACTTTCATTTAATATCCATTAAAAAAAGCATCCCAACAAAACTGGACCTACAATGCACATAAAACAAATAGAACCCAATAAGATCTGTACTTATCTTCAAACAGAAATATATCCACTATAAATTTCATGTACATGTACTACATTTTGTACTTCATTCGAATACACCGCATCATTAATAGTATCATGGCTATTTCACGACCAGTAAACTGTTTATACATCAATAAAAAATACATTAAAATTACTTTAGTAATTTGATTCAAGCATAATATGACAATGCACTGTCATAAATACCACCACCAAGGATGAGCAGTGATAGAAGGGTGCCATTAGATGCTAACAATCAGCCACCAGTTCAAGTGCATGCAACATAAACATGAGATTGCAAAACCTTCATGTGATTAGTGCCAAGCTAGTAGGTACTACAATCGTGCAAAACCTTACACAAGCTGACATGGGTGACAATAGATACCAAACTGCTGCAGATATAAATATCCATCTAAAGGTCTACATCTAAAGTGCCATGCAAATCAATCAAGTTTCTGGTACCCATATATTTTAAGTGAGTTTTCATGTTGAAATTAAAGGGGGATTAAGCATTACATGGGAAGTTGTAAGAATGCAAGTGTCGGTCTCTGTCTGCTACAGGATTGACTTCACTTATGGTAAAAGCTTATAAATTTGTTTGGCCTTCACAATGTACCTGAGCATGCCACATGTAAAACTACAACTAAAATATTTTTGCTAGGACCAGGATAACAAAAAAATGTTTCTTGCTGTCCACTATGAAACATTTCCTAGATAAAATCAGCAAACATTTCATAACCAACATTTTGTGACCCCATGCAAACCCCATCATACTCGATATAATAATGTGTTTTCCAATGATGATTATTATCCTGAATATAAGAACTGTGTGGCCTTTCCTTATGGATGTGTAATGAGCAACAAATCAAAGTTGCATGAACAAGCATGAAAAATCAAAAGCACGTTTCATCTTTTAAAAGCAGTAACGACACTGATAAACCAGGTATGATCGTATATTTTCTCACTAGGTTCAGTAGACCATGTCTTCATACATATTTTAAATCCAGCATTTGCCCCCCCCCACCCACTGCTGTTTCTGCACCAAAGCTGGCTGCTTCACCATGGCTCTCAGCCTGCATACAAAAATTGTATTAGCTAAGAGATTTGGAGCAAATTACTGTTTTTAGTAAAACCTATTATATATCATAAATATATTTATCATCTTGTCAACAATTCTCCAATACGAACCTGTGACATTATACTTAATATGTTATTGTCGTATGAAAAATGATATGTTATGCAAGATGTTATTGTTACCTTTGCCACTTGTTTCAGTATCTAATTAATAGTTACGTGCGTAAATACGACAGAAAACAGATGAGTATACTCAAGTCACCAGCACAAAATATTTCCTAACAACAGATAGGAAGGTCCTACACAGGGTTATTGAACAATATGTCTTACATCATGTTCAAACATTAAATCACATGATGGCACCCCAGCACTGAATGCTAAAGCATAGAAATCACTGCCAGTACCCATAGCCATGACTCTGCAATGAAAATGATAGGAAATATATTGTTTCATAAATACATACTCTACTTGTATTGCCATTGTTGATCATATCATTTCAGTTGTTGTAATTTCATTTTTATTAACATATTACAGATTATGTGTCACAACATTTCTTTTCACCCTCTCTCGCTATCTTCTGCGATTCCTTCCCTATACTTCCCCTCTTCCTCCCTTTCTTTGCCTCCTCAATTATTTCTAATATTCTCCCACTACCATTTTTCTAGCACTCTCTCCCGCTGCCCCTCTTTCTTCTAACGCTCTCTTCCGCTACCCTTCTCCCTTGTAACGCTCTCTCCTGATGCCCCACTGCTTTCAAGCATTCTCTCCTGCTGCCCCTTCCTGTGCTAACACGCTTCCGCTGCCACTCTCCTTTCGAACGCTCTCTCCCGCTGTCCCTCTGCTTTCTAGCACTCACTCCCTCTGCCCCTCTCCTTTCTAGCACTCTCATCTACTGTCCCTCACCATTCTAGCACTCTTTCCACAGCCCTTTTTTTTAGTAACCCCACCGGCTGCCCCTTCCACTGCCCACATTCTTACATTTTTATTTTAAGTGCACTTAAGATTCACAAGTTGAAGCAACATAAGTTAAAGAATCTGTATAAATACTTCAAAATATGTATTGAACTACAAGTACAGTATAGTGCCTACTTTCCTTGGAAGCACCTGTTAAAACAAAAGGTTTTTCGTGATCATAGCAACCAATTCCTTTTTAATCAACCAGGATCGAGGAAGCTTGAGTAGGGAAAATCCACAATTACTATAGCACAAATCCATATTTAGTAGCAGAAATCCACATGTGTGGATTGCGTTACTAATTTAGTAGCAAAAAACCCACATTAGTAGCATATATCAATAAAATAGTAGCAAGAATCCACAATGATCCTAATCGTCATCATCATCATCATCATCATCATCATCGTTGTCATCATCATCAGCATCATCATAGTCAACATGACCATCATCCTCAAACGTAATTAACAGATGTATTAATGACAATTCCAGCAACGTCAATGCAAGCATCTTCAACATTAGTCATCACCAGCTTCACTAACAGCAGCATGAGATTTGCAGTGACAAAGGTGTAAGAACATAGCTGAGCCAGTAAGGATTCCACATCAGTGCACACGTTAGTCAAGTTGGCAAGTCTACACTAAAAAGCCAGCAGGCATTTGTTTGGGCCACACTCACCTTATCCCACGTGTAGCGGATATCACAAGATGGAACACCCCCATTATAGATAAAGCTGCGATAGTCACTGCCTGTTCCTAGAGCTGCGACTCTAGAAATTACATAGTACGCACATAGAATGCTGCTATTGCTTACTAGATATTATGCGCGATGTATTAGGTGTGTATAATATTATGGTAGGTGAGCTGTTGACCCTTATAGTTTCAGAGATAAGTGTTTGAGATTTCTCCATGCCATCAAGAGGGCACGAATAAAACGCAATGGATTCAACATGTTCTTCTCCAAAACAAACAGTCTTGTAAAAAGGTAGTATTGAAATTTCTGAGACGTGCTGACCCTTATCAGAAATGCACATAAGTCAGGTGCAGATCCAGTACGGCGGACCATGGGGATGCCACCCCTTTCACCACTGTAGGCCTAATATTTCTAGTAAAATGCAAAGATTTCTCTCATATGAAATAGAATGTTCATTTTTGCAACAGCATTCAGTAAAACAATCTATGGTAGGGGGTCTCCCTCTAACCCCACTCTGCTCCCCATTCACCAGACGCCTTTCAGAACTCCTGAACTTCTGGACTCACTGATAACTAACAGCTAATTGAGGTTAAAAACATTTCTTTGTACCTTGCAATCAGGACAAAAAAAATAAAAGAAATGCAAAAAAGAAATGTAAAGGTGAATTTGCCTCACTTACTCTGGCTGTGTATCATCGGGGTCTGCTGTTACGTTATCAGGGAAGCAGCGCACCCATTGGTCGTAGAGTGTGGACGCCTCAGCAACAGATGTTGAGTTGGGATTTGGCACCTGAGACAAACAATAGGTAATGCTTATTAAAACACTGATACAATATATATATATATATATGGCCTGCAATTTACTTGTTTCTTTTAGTTTTGTCTAAAGTCAAAAACCCTTATTGTAAGTTAGAAAGCTAATTTTAAGTTGTTCAACATTGAGCAGTTAGCATATATAGAACTGGTGTATTGATTTATCATTTCAACTAATTCAATTACTACTCTATGCTTACAACGTCTGACTCTACTATTCCCGTCTGACAATTTTTAAAGCACTTTACACATTGTAAAATACTTGACAAAATTGTTTAACATTAAAAAAATTGCATTGTCGAGGAATCCCTAAAGCCATCAATTAAACTATATATGCACCTTTTTTGCCGCATCGAAAAGAGACTGATACATGGTCGGCGTTCCCAGTGCTCGTATCGAGAAATTACCTGAGAATCAAGTGAATATGTGATTGAAACATACACCATTTACACTGAGAGCATCAGCAAAGACAATTTACTAGATCACAAACAGATAATATTATTACTACATACCTTACTTCACTATGCCACACTTGTTTACTGCAAGATTTACCTTGTACTGCTATATCTACGTTCAGGTACACTAGTGCCCTGTTGACCAGTGACTTGAGTTTGTCCTAGAAAAATAAATTCAAAACAAGCTACACATGAATAATTACTATTTGCGTGAGCATGTCTATACAATGGTACAGTTGTACAATAGTGTCGCTATGTAGGTTCTGAAGGATCACAGGAAAGCCATGAATTTGACGTAGCGGGGCGATTCCACGAACGTGTCCCAAAAAAAGGTTTAGTCAGCTGGGAGAATACTCTGCATAGACCCCAGGTGTTACATACGCATGTGTGCCTTGTACGGTATTGTAACTATGCGCAATTTCCAGGGTTTCCAGAGAAGAGTAATTTCAATCTCTTATTTACAAATTTATGTCAATGACAATGTTTGTTTTAAAGGCACCTTTTGATTTTAACGTGAGGTCTTTCATGTGTATGTCAACAAATGTATGCTAACACGTGAATGTCATATAAGTTTAGGTTCTAGTTAATTTATAAACATAGAGCATTATTCTCCCGAGAGGTGAGAATGTTTTGTTGATTTATCATAGATACCAGTGTACCGTGTACTATTGGAGTGGAGGCCTGTCCAGGCGTCACGCCATTTGCAGAGAGACTTCGGGTATGATTCATTCAATGAAGGATTCTACTTTGAAGCTATGATGAGCTGTGTAGCCACACTATCGACGCAGATTTTAGGTAAAACGAGATTGCTGTATATATTTCATGTATTTATAATTTTCGTTCTGCTTGATTTGCAGGGTTTCTTCTGCCTGTTATTCTGGTTACTTGGTCGGGGTAATGAAGGGGCTAACTGCCCAACCTTTAGGACACACCTTAGCCTATCATGTTCTTTTTTGTTTGTCATGGACCCTTGACCCAAGGATCCATGCTATGACAACAGTACACTCATACAATAGACTGATAGAACAATAGTATATAGATGTATGTGTTTATGCTATTAGTAAGTGATTATCAAGCTGACGTGGCATGTGAACATAACCAGGTTCATAATAACAGAGGTTAATAATGACAAATTTGTCATTATTAACTCATGATAATAAATATCTCTGCACAATAGACTACTCATTAGAACCTACAGTAAGCATGATGTCGATAGGAACAAAAATGACATTATTGGAGCAGGGCTGCAGATAGGCATGAGTGGATGGCTGCCGCATGGCTCTAACATGTATGCAGTGCATACTCACTTCAACCCACTCTGTGGACCCAATCAAACCGTGCTCCTCTGCTGCCCAGCTGCAGAATACCAGGCTTCTTCTGGGCTTCCAACCTTACAAAAGAGGAGTTACAAGCCTACTATGATTACGCTGCTAGGGCTATTACACTGCTAATATAGCTAGTGTTACTGTGGTTACTGTTACTGCTAAAGCTGGTGCTGCTACATGGGGCAGCTGATCCTGCTGGTGTCACTGTAGATGCTGCTATATCTGCATTTGTTGTAATAACAATTAGTTCTTTCTGCAATTATTGTAACATAATATAATAATACATATTAACAGTGAAATGCATCTGCATATATTTAGATAAGGTATATGCATACTAATACAGAACAGAATATACAGAATAATAGAAGAATTAACAACAAGATTATCTAACCTTCTTTCTTAAGTTTTCCAAAAACCCTTGTCAGTTCTAACATTGCCGCTGTTCCACTTGATGGATCCACTGCACCAAACACCCATGCATCTCTATGATTTCCAACTAACACATATCGGTCTGTAATGATTTAACAAAAATTGAGTTAGGGCATGCACAAATCTTAAGCTAACGATTTAGAGGTACATGTATATGCAGCTATATGTACTATGAAGAATCTTTATGCATAACTCTACTGCATAATTATATGACTTTCGTTATGCATAACCGTGTTTATCTACGTGCCCTAGATAAAAAGACATTTTCCAGTAAAGCATTTAGTATCTCCTATTCAACTGACAAGAAAGCCAAATAAAATTGAGTGCATGAATATCTGAGCTATCCATTACTTTGCCTGGTTAGCTATTTTAGAGATTCATGGTGCTAATTAATGTGCTTCACTTGCTGTAATACACAACTGATGTAGAATCAAAGCCACTGGCTGGTGTTCTTGTTATTGTGTTATTTTATTTTGCTGGGGTAACACCCTCTAACAACAGGAATATCAGACTGACCAGCACACCCAAGATATTAAGGCTACTGGATAACAGAGATTTCACCTACTTTTGTCCTGTTTCTCACCTGGCTCAACCTCCCCTTCAATTGTGCCGATCACATTGTAGGTTTTCCTTCTCTGATTGGTCGTTGAAACATTCATCCTTACTGCCCAGCCAGGCTTGATGAATTCTCCACCCAGGTTGTAGGTAAGGTTAAGTCCACCCTGCCAGTCCTCTGGAGCAGATTCTCCACTCAGCTCCCTGTATGACATGAACATAGATACAAAAATACATGCACACATATTGCCTGTGGACGTGTCCATGTGCATACGCATGAAAAGAAACAGGTAGTTGAAATGTTGTAGTGAATGACGTTATAAAGAAATAAAATGGATTGTTTATATCAAAGAAACAAATGTATTTCACAAGGTGACAGCATTATCACATAAATTATCAGTACTTGTTTATATTTAAGTCCGTTACCCAAATAAACATAAACATTTACAGTATCCAGCCTTACAGAGGTTCATTATATAAGCTATAGCCAACTAAACCTACTTGAGAAAGTGATAGGCTCCACCATAGCTGATAGGATGGCTTGGTATCTTTGGCAAGTCTGTATCTTTAGGATTAACTCTGTATGCATGTTCTGTAAATAGCACACGTAATACCACTTCAAACAAGTGCCGCAGTGCAACAGGGCTCATCTGGTGTCTGGTGTTCTGCTGATAAATTCATTTGTGCATAGCAAGACGTCTTATACATAAGTCTTCTTTATTTTTGTTTGACTTTCGTAGCCAATTGGAACAAATATATCAGCTACACTTTCGCACCCACCTAATCTCTATGCATTGCAGACACATGTGCATTGCAGGTTGGCAAGCAACAATTATGATTAGAAGCGTGCCAGCCATGGGCTGCAGCCCGTGTTTTTGCCTACCCACACGAGCATTCACTCATTCAGCCTTCAGGGTGCTATAGACAGACTGCTTTACAAAATAATATGATTTAAGGAGCGTAAATCTTGTTCAACAAACATTTGCCTTTGCAATTAAACTGTGCAACTGTAGCCTCACATTCACACAGGTATGGGCTCTAATAATAGCAAAAGCAGTTCAGTCCTTTGTTAACAGTCAACAAATCAATGTTTAACCCTCCTCCTGAGGGTCAAAAAGTTATCCGACACTTACTCTTCGCATGTCAGCGGAAAGTACATTTCACAGTCCTTTCAATAAAGCCATAAAAATGGTAGGTCACCGCTGAAACAAAAATGTTTTTCAATCGCTCCGTCAAACCATGTCCTCAGAAAATGTCTAAAATCTGCCCTCTGCCCCATTGACCTTTGACCTGTAACCTCCGATTTCGGCACAGTGATGGCTTTTCCTACCATGATGCTATACACCGACTATCACGAGCCTAGGTCGAGCCGTTTAGATTTGTGCCGCAATTCTGCATTTCCTCCCTATACCTTAAGTTGAGGAAGGAATGTTCCCCCTTCTTTTACACCTCTTGACATTTGACCTTTGACCTTTGACCCCCAGCTTCGACATCCCAACTCGTTTTCGAATTACCCCCTTATGTCCCGAATATCGTGACCGTACGTCGAGCGGTTAAGATTTGTGCCCAACTGCTGACGAACGGACGACCGGACGGACGGACAATCATGCGATTCTACAAGCTGCATCCGACTACGTCAGATGAGCTAAAAATATGGATAGATTTTTTTAAACATATGGACTACAAGGAGAGCTGAAATTTCCAATGTTTGTGACATAACTCAGTAAAAAGTGAGCAGAGAAGCAAAGACAAACCGTGTTATTAATATGAAATATGAGGTAACAGTGGAGATAAAATAATATGAAAAATTCAATTACACCTAGAATCACTATCTTCCTTTTCTCAAATCAGCCACATGAGGGCCGATTATGAAAAAACAATCACACAAATCTTGGATTGTTGCTCACCAGTGGCAGGGTAACTTGGCGTAAGTGGGTCACCAGGGGGCGATGATAATTTTAGTGTTCCCCGCTGTACGCCTGTGGGTGGCAGCCACCACGTGTTGGGGTAAACATTCTCAGGTTCTGTCCCATCCATAGCATAGTCACTGGGATCTGAGAAGATGATCACTCCAGCTGCCCCATGCGCTTGAGCATTGACAATCTGCTCATAATTACAGATGTTTAAGTCATTCAAATACCACACTTTCTAATCATTAAAAGCTCTATTGGTAATGTTGTCATAATTCATGAATAGCAGTGCCCTCTCTTCTTAGACAATATATCAAGTGAAATTTTCGCCCAGTCAATTAGATTTACAACTGGTGACACATGAACCACAGTTTGTATGGGACAAAACTAAATTTTTGTACAAAGCAAAAAATTATTCTCTCATGCACAATTTTAGCATTGAATTAATTCAATAATTAATTAACTGGAAATATCTGAACATGGCATCCTATGTGTATGAGTAATTTTAATATCAATTATTTTTAAGTTTATAAACATTTTCCCTCAAAAAAATCTCAAGCTATGATATCAAGACAATAAATATAATGAGAGTGCAAGAGTTCTACCTTTTCCCCACGGAACACCTTGCCATATCTACACAGCATGATAGCATTTGTGAGGTTCATGCTCTTGTTGCGTGTTAGGTAGTTGAAGTCTTCTACTCGCCCATAGTTTACATATACGAGCACACCCTGAAACATACAGTGTATATTCTTCCTTTAATAAACGTATACACACGAATTTACTGATTGCTTAATGTATTATAAATAACCTACGACTAAACTTACAATGAAAATATTTTACTGATGCCCATCTTGTTGCAGTTTGGAGACTCACTAACTCGAAGCAAAACCCCAGACACTTTAATGCTAAACAAAGTCTACACAGCTTAAATGGCCAACAAACCAACTTACCAACTTTTAACAATGTTATCCGCTGTTATCCGCTTATTTTTAAATGCAAAAAATAAAATGCAAATGCATTATTAGTTATCCCTACGAGTAAAATGTGTTCTCAGATACTAGGCCCTAAACACCATTCCTAGTGCACATTTAATGACAAGGCACACGTAATCACACCAGACATTGAGAATGGCATGACAACACAGTATGACAGTATGACAGTATGACAGTATGACAGTATGACAGTATTACATCATATTCCCACTCAGGAAAGCCTATTCATTTAATCTGCACTGTAGCCATTATTGAACTTTATTTGCATGAATATGCATCATAATGGCAATGTCACTCTCGATGGCTTGAAATTTAACAGATTTAAATTCAGGTGTATATATTGGCTACAAAAATCAACATAGCATCATTGGCGAACGTATGTGGACCAATAGTAGAAGTTATATACGAGTCACATTGGTTCCCGTTCAGCGGTTCTTCCACTTTTTGTAAACATCTAAAGTCACAGGGTTCAACATCCGGCTAATAGAGTGGATGTGGAATTAGCTGCCAAAATGTTTTAGGGGCCAAAATATCTGGATCGTGTAGCAGGGGATGTTGTGATCCTGACAAACTTGTTTCTCCACTTTTCCATTTTCCCCATCAGACTATCTGTCTCCTTCAGCTGCTTTATATGTTCCTTGCGCAGAGCCAGTTAAAGCAATATTTACAAGTGATGACTGTTTGCATGACTAGTTGCTGAAGTAAACATGACTGTTACAAGAATTTCCTCCATAACACGATATAGTGAGGTGAAAAACACTATAAAAGTTGTGTGCTGGCATTTCAAAAGGTTAGCATATCATTGATGAATCTGCCAACTGATGTTGATAATCAAGTCTCATCATCTTGAGATGTTCAATAGTCAGAAGACAGACATGCAAAGATGAAAACGTCTCTAAAAATTAGTAGTCACATACAGCATACTAGTACATAAAAAATATTAGAGGCCCCGTTCAAAATTTAAGAGCCCAGATTAATATCACATAAAGTGCCAAAGTTTGGGATTCATGACCTTGAAAATTGACATTAAAATTGCACTCTTCTATACATTATAACCACGAAGATTCAGAGCAAATTATTTTCCAAGCAGTTCCAAGGAGATAGATTAAACTAGCTTTCATGCTGTGACTGGGCTGTAACTGCCTGTGTGACTGGGCCACTGTTAGTAATCATCACAGATAGCACTGTGGCCGAGCTCTTTGCACCCACCTTGTACTTGCATTAAAGAACGGTTGGTTGTACACTGCCAAAAATAGCATAACAAAAATACGTACTGTTGGCGTTCCTGATGCAGAGTAGGCATGGAAAGGAGGAATGATGTTGTCTGCATCTGCCTGGTCGTCAGTTAGAGGTTTTTCCTGCACATCCGTCGTATAGACTGCCTATAACAATTAGCACTTCAGATGAGGATGTGAACACACACATCTACACCTGCACTGCTGTTACAGACTTCTACACAGCTTTGCTACAAGAATTCTTGTGCTGGATGCAAGACAACGATTGAAGATGTTGTAATGATCATTATTCTTCTAGCCAGACATAAATGAAAGAGACTTTTTCATGTAATCTCGTTGTAACCTACATGGTGATAAAGATCAACATAACAACAAGAAGACCATTTGCTTGCAACGTGCAACAAGAAACACAAACCAAAGAATTGGCTGAATCTCTCCTACCGTTCCTTTATCATCCAGCAGCGACACTGTGTTGGGGCTATTGACATCAGGGTAGGACAAGAGAACATCATACGATTGCAGGTCAACACTATCCAGTCCCTGATCCTGCCACAGCTTCTTTACATACTCAGCCTGAATGCGATCTTGTTCATCACCAGCCAAGTGAGATGTTGATGTGAAATATCTAGAGGATATAGCAAGGACAAGCAGCGATTAGCTGGATTACCATCACATCTAAAGTATGTTGTTAACCTGTATGTAACCTGCATTTTTTACATTTTTCAATATTATGTGATAGTTTGGTGTATTGTACATATTACAACATAACGTGGTCACTCACTCATCCATGTACACATGCACACACATACGCACACATCCAAATATTATCACACAATTTTACCATGTGATGTGTCATAAATATAAAGATTATTATAGTAGCCTACTGTTTGTTGTTAGTGGTTATTAAGATAAGAAATAACCATAGTGTTATAAATCTATACATTCCACATTCACACATATTGATTTATAGGCTAGCATGCGTGCAAGAACTTTATTACTTTATAGATGCCTCAACTTTGGGTAGTTTTTATATTTGACACCCAAGGTCAAGCAAGACACTGCAGCAACGATGACCAACCGTAATGTCTAACAACATTTAAAAAATAGAACCTATCATTTCCAATAAGCTATTGCACATGCACACGATAATGTCAGGTGACAACCGTAATAATAGAAATAGTTATATATCGGTATGATTTGCTGACAAAAATCGGGGTTGTCAGCAAATCATACCGATTTCAAGTGCATTCCAACTTTGCCCCTGACTTGACCCGACAGAAGTTGGTGTTGAGTTGCTGTTTACACTATCGATTTTTGTCAGAAAATCGTACCGATTGTCCATATTGCCCCCGATGTGACCCCGATTAGTGTAGTTTCAAGTTTAGAAACTTAAAATGTCTGCCATTGTATAGAGAGAAAGGAGATGAACATTGACATAACACCAGTCGTTAGCGCCTGTATTGTAGAAGGGGACCGTCGCTGCAACTTTGACGCTGAACGTTACAATTGGTCATTGTCACTGCAGTGTGTCTTGACCTTTAGTGCCATGCATTGTTTTTCTGTACTAATGCAAAGCTAAATATTATAGTTTCAATGAGTTCGTTACAGTACAGTTTAGGTAGGCAAGGACTTATGTATGTATACATATATACAAGCATAAAGAACAACCAAGCTGATTAGATTTAGCGCAATTCCAAATATTTTGTTGGCTTTTTAGTGTTTCCTAAATAAACTCTCTGTATTACCAAACCACGCAAAACAAATTAAAAACACACCATGCAGTCTACAGTGCGCGAAATTGGCGCTATTTTGCCAGCGGCCATCGGTTCAACACCCTAAACCGCCGGTTCAACCTCCCATATAATCGGTCCACTTTGCCTATTCAACATTTTGTCTATCTTGCCTTTATATCAACAATATTTACCAATTTCCTGACTAGTTTTTACTTAGTGACTACTAAGAAGTACATCATGTTCCAGCAATTCCTGTCAAACAAGTAGAACTCCACTGATAGCAATAAAATACTGAAATACTATGAGTATGCCTAATAAACACAAAGCTAATACTTTTATTAATAATGGAATATATTGAACAAAATTAAGTGCCTGTTCAAACGTGTAAGGGCCTGTTTAAAATGTTGGGTGGGCCTGTTCACATTTTGGCTAATTTCATGCCCTGAGTCCAGAATATCAGTGGTCTACTTAGCAAGGGATATGCATGCACAGAAAAACATGCTAATGCACCCACGCATGAACACACACACGCACACACAGTTTCACACATGACTTTTGCATCCATCCTAACTGTCTCTACATCTTCAATCTACAAGTCTTACCTGAGGTAAGTACGAATGTTTTCTGGGTCAATCTGAGTTATAATCTTCTCCGATATGCTGGGATCTCCATCAGAGGTTGCTCTCAGGAACGAGTCAGGAAGGGTTGATGTTGATGGACTAGAGTGAATAAGATCATACGAGCCATTTACATCAAAAAGACATTGCACAAACAAGGAAGCGTTACATAGATATCAAAGCATTGTAATAGCATAGCAGTAGCGCTCATAGGGTCTATATGTCCCCCAGGGTACTATCGGAGAGTATCCTGGGTACGGTTCGATATATCGGAACGTACCCTGGTAACTATATGATATGGTTAGGGTTAGGGTTAGGGAGTAGGCGTAGGCGACTCCCTAGACTCGTTAGTGGAGTAGGCGAGGTACAGTCCAGCATATTAGATAGTACCAGGGTACGTTCCGATATATCGATTCGTACCCAGGGTACCCTCCGATAGTACCCTGGGGGACATAGACCCTATCAGCAGCAGTAGCAGTAGCCTACCAGCAACAGCAGCTACCACAAATTATTTGTCATTATTAACCCCTGATATTAGGAATGTGTGTGCATATAGATATATACATCACTGCTGATACTGGCAGATTAACGCAGCACTCAAGAATAATGAATGCAACAATGGTTCCACCTGAACACAAGTGTTTTCTTACCTGCTGTGTGAAAACCATCCAATAATAACACCAAGTGACAGTGAGATGGCAAAACTCACAAGCAAGCAAACAATCAGGGTCTGTCTGCTATAGAGCCCACCAGAATATCTACCCATGCTGTTAAGACACCTAGAGCGCAAATGCACCCACCGAGTACTGTTCACACTATCTACACACACGATGTGGCTGACTTATTGGGTTATGAGGTGGGCAGTGGGCATCAGGGCATATCAAGGTACAGCGACCTTGGTTTTTTCACACGCTGTAAGCACAACTGGTACTTGATCCAGGTTGACAGTGCTGCCAGCTATTGGTACAGTTAGGAAGTTGTAGATATAAATCATCATGGCTTTTTACACATAAAATGTTTGAGAAACCTCCGATTATACAGTATCAGGAGCGTATAATATCTATA